AAATCCATTTTCACCTCTGCTGTAGTAAAGAATACACAGAAGAGAGAGAGAGAGAGAGAGAAAGGAAGGACACAAGGGCAAAGCTGAAACATAATGGTCTCAACAGACTGAGTACTTTTCTTTGCTAAAATAATATTCAGAAGATCCAAAAAGACCAAAAGTATCTGCTCTACTAATGTGATATTTCTATTGGAAACAGAGATTCATCACAAATTTATACATGGCCATATTTTTAAAACTTACATACTAAAGGACTTCCTGGCAAAATGTCTTTTTTTTTTTTTGCAAAATGCATAAAAGCTATATTTTTGTTACTTATGGTCAAAGATTACATGTTTCCATGTTATATATGATACATTAAATGCAGGGATAACTCTAATAATCATAGTATAAAGGTAGAATTATGTTTGAGAAATTATTGATGCTTCTTTTCTCTGAAACTTAGAAAATGAAGCTTTCAGTGTAATATTCACTGCTGTATTTTTGAAGCCAGAAAGAAGCCTTGCAGATAGCTTGTATCTTCACCTAAAGGAAGCTGGATTGGAGTTAATGAACATTAAGAGGATTCTGTAAGGTTCTTTAAGGTAACAAATGTGGTATAAAATGCACAAGCATTACAGTGTACCCATAGTAAGAGATTACTTTCAGATTTCAGAAGCAGGCCCAGTCTTATTTATAGGTTGTTAATAGAGGGTACTGGTTACTGCTGATTAGTAGGAAAGGCCAGAGGATGGCGGGAGGATGACCGTCTCTGCTACATGTAACTATACACATGCCAAGGTAAGAATTCTGAAATGGAAATTCCAGAATCAGGAAGCAATTTAATCTTGATTGACACGATTAAAACATATCAAAAAAAAAAAAAAACCCTTTCAACTGGTATCAGAGTCCCATGACTAGTTGCATAAAAATAGGTTGAAAATATTATAGCAATCTCAACTAGATAAGGTTGGAAAAATAACTTCCATAAACACAATAATTCTAATTCAATGAACCTTTGAAAAACCACGTAGCCATTTTCATGAGGTAAAATTCAGTAACAGAAAAATGCAGCTGCCATCATGGTAGGATTTCTGCCTACAGTAGCCCGGTAGCTATGTACAAAATCTTTTGGAATTAATTATAATATTTCTTATAACAATTCTACCAGGACTGGGGATGTAGCTCAGCGGCACAGTGCCTGCTTGGCAAGCGCAAGATCATGAGTTCGGTTCCCAGCACATACACACACACACACAAAAAGCAATTCTTCCAAAACCATTCAATGCAAATCCATTTTCACCTCTGCTGTCCCAAGTAATACACAGAAGTACAAAGATGATTGAGGTATTCACTAAGTGGTCATAATATAATCAAGTCTAAAATCTTCCCCGAGGATACCTCATACCAAAAAGGGACCTGAAGGTGCATCCACTACTCCAGATAAACTGGGAGATGGTAGCAAACTCTAATTTGTACTTGTCTTGAATGTTCATACAAAGGTGCCTAAATAATTCCAAAAAGCAGTTATGCTGTTTGTCATTCATCGCCCATTAGTGATTTCTATACTTACTGAACATAGAGATTTCTACATATACTGAAAACATAATAGAATGAAGAGCCCAGTAAATAATATGATAGGATTATTAAATCACCATTTACTTAACTAATAAGAGCCATAAGATGCTACTCTACGAGATTAATTTTGCTCTAGAAACTTCCTTTTGAAGAATCCAATTAGAATCCAATTAAAACACAGAAATAACAAAAAAGAAAAGACTACTTGGAAAAATGGTCATAGGCTTAAAATGAAATACAGGGGCTGTGGATATAGCTCAGTGACACAAGCTTCTGCCCGGCAAGTGTAAGGTTCTGAGTTAGATTCCCGGTGCAAAAAAAGAAAAATAAATAAATAAAATAAAATGAAATACAATGAAAACCATCATCCTTCCATCAGTAAAAATGAGAGTACTATGGATACAAAAATGGGGGAATGCAAAGACTGTTTTGCTGAAGTAAACTTTAAAAGTATAATTTTGAAGTAAATCCATAATGATCAAAATATATCTACTACAAGAAGAGATACAAGAAACCAAGAATAAAAAGAATCTTATCCATCCATCCTGGACAGTATCTATTCCTCAGTAGAGAATTTTAGTGAATTCTTCACATACTCACACTAGAACTACTAAAATTGGTTTCCTTAATAGTTTTTCTTGCTTCAACTATTTTAACGTTCAAACCTTTACTAGTTCTGTCCAAGACAAACTCTAAGCTCCTTGGCCTGGCGTGTATTTGGCGCCAACTTATTTCCAAAGATATCATTCAGATCCCTCATTCAGACAGACCAACCATCCGCCACTCCACCCCCAGCCTGATCGCACTGATTTCTTGCATTTCCTCCTAATTTTAATCTTCCTGAAGGCTCCACTCTCCTTTCTTCCCATATGCCTGAATCCTAACCTCCGAGCCAGGTTACATACTTTCATTAGCCAGGCATAGTCCGTAACACTGATATCATTCACAAAGCCCTTTGTATATATCATCCCTGTTTATTCTACCACACAAATTCCCACTTCGTATTACAAAACATGGACATTCTGTATACCATGTATTCGTACTCTCCCACCTTTCATGTAACTTACACCACCCAGCCCCCACCGTGCCGACGCTAGCATCTTTCTGAAGCAGATACTCATCTAGCCTCTGCTGAGTCAAACACAGAAGAACAATGATGCACGAAAGTTAAAAGTTACTTACTCTTTCATGACATAAGAACAATTTGAATCAAAAATATTTTGAGAAACTAATTATTTTCTTTGAAATTTCTGAGGATTCAGAGCGCGATGTGGATGCATTTCTAAATTGCTTTCCTCTAGCAGAGATAGTCGTGAGTTTGCTCCGGGTGGCATTCTCTTCCATCCAAGCCCCAGATTATCATCTCACACCATCACATTATGTTGCAAATACCTGTTCACCTGTCCATCTATACTAATAGCTCTTCCATGTAAAAAAAGTGTGCTCCATTTCTGTCTGTATGCAGCCCACCTAGTAGGAACCCAGTCAATGACTGATCTAATACCATGATTATCTAAAGCACAATTATAGAATAATTGTGTTTACTAATTTATTTCTTTACTACAGAAATAAATGTTAAAGAAACTCAACCTGTGACTGTGCTATTTCAAATAAGGCACATAGTCAAAATTCTAAGGACTGCATTTATACAAATATTAACCACAAAAATAAACACACAAGGGGCTGGGGATTTAGCTCAGCGGCAAAAGCGCCTGCCTGGCAAGCGCAAGGTCGTGAGTTCGGTTCCCGGTACCGGAGAAAAAGAAACAAAAAAAACAAAAAACAAAAAAAAATAAATGAATAAACACACAGACTTCAAGAGAAATCCTATGTGAACATATGTATATATGTACATACATGTGTGTGTGTGTGATTTTGATACATGATAAAATACTGTAGAAGGAACTACAATTTTGGATAGGAAAAGGAAAAAATAAAGAGGGACTTTTTTCTACTTTCCTTTCTTGTGCATTATTTGTGTACTACAAAACATATGTAACATTCAAAGTAACTGCACACATTAGAGTAGTCTGATTAAAGTTAAAACTTTTTTTGATGATTCATTTACTGTGAGACTGAACTAATAGAAATTTTATATGTTAAGAGCAGAGCATGAAAGAAAACCTAGACTAAACAATGAGGTTTTGGAGGTCCAACAGGGAGATTTTGTTTTAATGGCTTAATTTCTGTAAAACAAAGGACAAACTCCTTCTTAACTTAGTATTTCCTAATTTAAATTCTTCTTTCATCTATGTGTCCAACACTGCTATATACTTAAGGAGAGAACTACCCAAAGGCACAATCCATCCTTCCAAATAGTAAAAAGAGACAGTAAAACTCTCTTCCCAAGGGACAAGACAATAATAAGAAAAGCCTCTCATTAGCTGTTCTCTACAACAAAGCAGCTGCACGTCACAGTAACTCAGACTATGGTTGGTACTTCCTGGCGGAAGTGCTCAGCACTCTAAGAGAAGATGCACATTGCTAAACATCTAGACCTGATGCAACCATTCTCTTCCCTGCCGTCAAACAGGTCCTCTGTGGAAGACTTCCACCCATATAATTTCTGAAGGCAGCGATCGTAGTCTTCTCCCCTTTGGATACCCAGATGCTGAAATCATCTAGCAAACACTAGCTCTTTACCAGCCAGTGGGTCAGCAAGTGACATTTCCTCAAACACTGTATATTTGTGGATATCGATATGATAACACAGATCTGACAGGTTAGGAAATAATCATTTCTAATCCATTAGATTGTCTTTTTACTTAAAATTCAAACACAAATAATAAAGACAACTTTGATAAATAAATGATTCAGAAGGGATTTTGGTTCTAGAGTAGCGCAGGAGTCATCTTAGTTCCTGCAATGAACTGCAGGTAGTTTGATATGACAATGACAAAGAAAAGGAAAGGGACAGGAGCGGTGGCACAAGCCTGTAATCCCAGCACTCAGGAGGCTGAGGCAGGAAGATCACCATGAGTTCAAGGCCAATCTGGGCTACACAGTGAGTTCAAATCCAGCCTACACTACATAGTGAGACCCTGTCTCAAAGAAAGGGGGAGGTAAACATGGAGGTAAGGTAGCCATTCTCTCTTTTCAGTTCCTATCCTAAGAGTCCATACTTTTTTATATTGGCTCCAACTCTCTGCTTAACCATTGTAGAAGAAAAATTTAGGACCAGTGTCCTTGAAATAACAAAGTCTGGTTCTGGCAGCTGGACTCTCGTGACCTTTCTCTAAGTGCGGCCAATCACACAATTATTTCAGTTTTTCACTAGCACAGTGACTTAAAAGGAAAATGATAGTTTTGGAAAATCCTTCACATTCATAGACATTTTCAATTTACTAAAACCAGATTAATTCCAAACAGTTTTAATATTTCCTGAGCTTCAATATCAAACCAAGTCACGAATAAAGATAGTCACAAGGCAGCAACACACTTACCTGGGGGTAAGGAGACGTCCTGGATTTTGACTTTGAGCTGGAGAGCCTCGACTTGGTCCCCTTCCTGCTATCAGTCATGGTGGGGGTGGAGCTGCTGGCGTAGGAGAAGGCTGGTTTGGAGGCTGAGATCTGATCCAGAGAGAGCTGTAGCCCCTTGTACTCAGTGTCTCTGCAAGATTGGAAGACAGAGCCCTTACTCGTCCACTACAGGAAAGAATCCATGCGTTCTCTCATCAAGAATGTAGTAACCCGTATGTGAAAGTGAAGCAAGCAAAAGTTAGCCATATAACTAGTTTCCACAGACGCCTGGGTTACTGCAGAAAAGTGTAACACTTAGCTAATGTGTGTCAATGTGGCCGCTGCACCCAAATCATAAGCTCATCAAAAAGTCAGGATAGAGATTTTTCTCATTCTTTTTATTAGTTAATTAGAAATTAAACCCTTAATTTAACTTCTGTGAGATTTGTTTTCTCAGTGGTGAGATATGAATTATAAAGGCTGTTCTGAAAGTTTTCTACGTGGGGTAAGCTCAACAGACATCTGGCCAAATGATGCTACTTGATTACTAACAAGAACGTCTTCTATCAGCTATTCCAAGATCAATCATCTTGGCAAACTCCAGATATTCTTATTGCTAGCTAACTAGTGTAACCAGGCTTATAAAAAACATCCTTTCTGCAGGGTAAGTAATTAAGCTCCCTCAGGGTGCACTTTACCACCAGTTATTTCCATTGTTTCCTTCATTCAGTAAATATTTACTGAATGCCTAATGTATACCAGACTTTGTCCTATGTGGAGATGTAAAAACAAATAAGGTATGTATATGCCCTGTCCTTGCGTAGACTATAATCTACAAGAAGAAGAAACAGTAAACAAACATAGATAGAAACTGCACACTGTAATTTGAAAGGAGTAGTCAGTGTTAAGAAGTTAATTTCAAAGGTGTTGTTTGAGATACAGTATTGAGAGGGTGAAGATGACAAACCTGTTCCACCAATAGCTATAGCCTCAGCTCCTCTCCAGGTAGCAGTGGGTCTCATCTGATGCCTGTTTTTCTTAAGAGCATATCATCCCTTTTCACTGTCCCCTGAACAAAATGTTTCACAGTCTTCCTTATGAAGACTCACAGAAGAATTTTCTTTCAGGTTCCAGAACCAGCGGGGCTGCTCCTCATTAACTGATTTTATGTAGCTCATCGTGTTCCCTTCTTTGCACTAGCAGTCAGAAAGGCTGAGCCCCCAGTCCGATTTGTAATCACTTCCATGAGTACACAAAGTTCTCGGGGCGGGCAGTTTGTGCAGCAAACTCCAGTGGTTCCCCTTATTTTTCTACCCTTAATTTTCTCTCCATCTAATTGTCTAATGGATTTGCCTTCTTTAAATTTTTATGTGCATTTTTAATGCTGTTTGGATTAAGATGGGCATGTGAAACTTAATAAATTAATGAAATTGTTTGTATAAAATGACTAGCACATTCCATAAATTGGCAATTACTTGTTTATCTTCTTTTCTACTTCCCTTTCAGTTCTTCCATAACAATGTCAGGCAAAAGGAAAAGTATAATTCAGTACGCTAAAATTGCTAAGATTGGATTTTAAATGTTCTTGCCTCAAAAAATATTGAGTATGTGACATAATACACATGCTAAGTAGCTTTATCACTGAACAACGTATAAATATAGAAACATGATGTATAGGATCATACATTTATACAATTTTTACTTATCAATTTAAAAAGAGAAAAAACTATAATTCAAGCAAGGCATCCCTCCAGACAGTAGGAATAGAAACCAACTGAAACAGCGCCAATAATATTACTACCACAAACTACAGTGTAGCACCATATAAGCAGCAAATTATAATAGCTTCGCACCAAATGCAGCTGGCTCCCTTTATCTGAATCTGTGGAGTCATAGGATCTCAGATTGAAAATACTGTAAAAACACAAAGATACTGCATCTGCACCAAGTATGCATACACTTTTTCTTTGTCATTAACCCCTGGGCAATACAGTTTAACAACTATTTACATAGAATTTACATTTTTGTGGTATTTTAAGTATCTAGAGGTCGCTTAAAGCATATGAGGGGATGTGTGTAAGTTATATGCAAATACTATATTGTTTTATATGAAGACTTGATGATTCATAGATTTTGGTACTCTTTGGCGCTTCTAGAACCAATCTTCCACAGGCAATGGTAAATGGGTATATTCCTTTCATTCAATGCAGCTTGAAAAATTCCTCTACAAAAGCAATAAAAACAGTGCAGGGCCCTATTCTAGACACCAGGGAGACATCAATGAACACAGGGTCTAAGCATCCACCCCTCATAAAGAAGCCCATTGCTGAAGGATCAGAAACCATGTCTTTCTTACTCTAACTTTATTTTGTTGTTGTTTTGTTTTGTTTTTGAGACAGGGTCTCACCATGTAACTCAGGCTGGCCTTGAACTCACTATGTAGCCCAGGCTGGCCTCAATCTTGCAGGCATCCTCCTATTTCAGCCTCTTGAGTGCTGGGGTTGATTACAGGCATGTCCTACCACACCCAGCTTTCTAACATTATTTTTTAGGTGATTATGCTTTTCCTTTTCCAGTAGACTCTAGGATCTGAAAGGACAAGAGTCAAAAGATATTTTGCTATTTTTCAAAAATAATTGTGCGATATATCACATAGGTGGAAAAGGAAGATGATAACAAGGATAGAAATTTTAAAAGACCATTTTCCTTAGTGAGCACCAAGAACTGGCAATCCATCAGCATTTCTCAGTACAGAAAAAAAAAAGACCCAGTGGACTGTGAGTCCTCAGACCCACCCTCCCTTAGGCAACAGTAAGCCTAGAAAACTGGACTCTGCAGAAAATGGAGCTTTCATGCTGTGTACTTCCTGGGTCAAAGCTCTTCTGTTCCCTGGAGTAGAGGATTCATCCATTCAGTCCTTGCCTGGCAGGTCCCACACTGGTAGTGAAAAGTATGTACCCCTAAAAATGTGACCAAATAACTTCATAAACTCATTTCTAATATCTTAGCACAGGGACTTCTAGTGATATACACAAAGTAAACTAGTATTCATTTTTCTCTTGCATGCTTTCAGATCCCAGAAGGGATGCAGCCTCACTATTAATATAATTCCCAGGGAGGTAACTTTTCTAAACTCATTCTACAAAGCCAACATTATGTAGAAACCAAAACCAGACAAGGACTCTACAAAAAAAAAAAAATTAAGACCAATGTCCCTGATAATATAAATGAAAATTTTCTTCACAACACACTATCAAGCCCAATCCAACTTCACATCAGAAAGATCAAATAACATGGTAAAATGGAATTTATTCCAGGGATACAAGGATGGTTCTGCACATGCAAATCAACAACAGAATGATGGACAGAAGCCATATCATTATTTCAGTAACTCAAGATGTGGGAAAAAAGCAATTTGATATCAAATATTCCCTCATGATTTAAAAAAACAACTAATTAGGTATATGAGAAGCATACCTCAATATCATAAAGGCTATATATGACAGATCCATCACCAGCACCACACTGATGGAGAAAAGATAAAAGCATTTCCTCTAAGCTAAAATACGACAAAGATGTTCACTTTCCCCACTTTTGTTCCACACAGAAACTCTTACCCGGAGCAAGAATGTGAAGGAAATAAATATAAGACATACAAATAGGAAGAGAGAAAGTCAAATTATCCCTGTTTGCAGACCAAATGATTTTATATATGGAAAACCTGATGACACCAGAAAAGACTTATAGAAATGCTAAATTAAATCAGTAAAGTGGCAGGATAGAAAATCAACATAAAAAACTTGTAGCATTTTTATACAAAAAGGATGAACTTTTTGAGAAACAAATCAAGAAAGCAATACCATGCACAATAGTTACAAAGAGAACACCTAGGAATAATTTTAAACAAGAAACACTAATGAAAGAAATTGAAGGCACCAAAAGATGAAGAGATCTACCACGTTCATGGATTGAAGGAATATTGTTATAATGCCACACTACTACTAAATTCAATTCATCTCCATCAAAACCCCAACGACATTCTTCACAGAAATCGGAAAAACAATCCTAAAATTTATATGAAAGCACAAAAGTCCCCAAAGAGCCGAAGCAATATTGTGCAAAAGAGATAAAGGTAAGGTATCACAATATTTGATCTTAAGACATATTGCAGGGCTATATTAATTAACACAGCATGGTACTGGCATAAAACCTGACACACAGACCAGTGGAACAAAACAGAAACATCATAAATAAATGATATATCTACAGTCAATTGATTCTCCACAAAGACACAAAAACATACATTGGTGATAGGATAAGCTCTTCAATAAACAGTACTGGAGAAACAAGATGTCCACATGTGGAAGACTGAAACTTAACCCCTGTCTCTCACCCTATGGAAAAACCAACTCAAAATACTAAACAGAAGACCTGAAACTGGAACTATAAAACTGTTAGAAGAACACATAAGAGAAATACATCAAGTACCACATGGAAAAGCAATCTATGTCCCCAAAGTTAAATCACTAAGGGAAGTATAACAAATAAGGCAAAATGTTGCCATTTTTAAACACTTAGACTTATAAAGAATGTAATCTGTCTTTTTCTTTCTTTCCCCTACCGAATCATTTTATAGAGTTTGAGTAAAGGTACTGAATTACCATTAGGGGAGAAAAAGAAATACTTCAAGACATCAGTATAGGCAATGATTTTTTGGATAAGACCCTAAAAGCACAGGTCATAGGAACAAAAAAGACAAATGGAATTATATCGAACTATAAATCTTCTACAACTCAAGAGAAATTACTGCATACAGAGACAATCTTACAGTGGGAAAAATACTTGAAAACTATTCATCAGACAAGCAATTAACACCCAGAACACATAAGGAACTCAAAAAAACTTTTTAAAAATTCTTCAATTTAAAAATAAATGAATAATTTGACTAATACATTTCTGAAAAAGACACAAATGACCAAGTCTATGACAAAATACTCAAGATCTGTAGCTACTGAGGAAATATAAATCAAAATCAAAATAAGATATTATCTCACCCCAGTCAGAATGACTAATATTTTTTAAAAGCTGAAAATAACAAAAAGCAGATGCAGAGAAAAGTTAACCCTTATGCGCTGTTGATAGGAATGCAAA